TAGCCTGTGCCAGCAATCGACTTTCTCTCCTCGGGCGACAACCTTTCAATTGCTGACTGCAGTGCCTGCCAACACAACCACCTCCTGCCTCTTTTTGTTTCTTTTTTGTGACAGGGTCTCACGAACCCACCTCCTATTGCTTCAGAGACTGTGTGTGGGGTTTACATCAGGACAGCCTTCTTACAGGCTCTTCTCAGAAGAGCAATATTTATTTGTGGTTATACCAGAGTTCAGCTACAGGAAAAAAAAAAAAACTAAAAAAACCTATTGTGTGGGGTTTGTTTTTAATCTGACTGTGTGGACCTTGGTGGCCTGGGATTTGCATTTAGACCAGGCTGGCCTTGAATTCCCTGAGATCAGGTTACCTCTGCCTCTTAGTGCAGGGATTATAGGATTAAAGGTGTTTCTGCTACAACCACTCTTGGGTTTTTAAATTTTTTAAGGCAAGGAAAATAGCCAGGAACTCCAGATCGTTCTACTTCTGACTACCACGTAAATCCCCGTGATAGGTTTAAACAGTGTTGTGGCTCTAACCCAGGGAGCTTCCTCTGTAGAGTAGGCTAGTCTTGAACAGTCCCAGCTACCTAGTTTTCTTGACCTTGGCTACCAATACACTCCCACTTCTAGTGTTCCTCCTCCTTAGAGAGGCCTTCAAGACTGCCATAGCTTCCAGCTAATTGCAGGACTGAATGCCTGCCTGTCACTAGGTATCACTCATTGTTGAGGCTAGTGGGAGTGACAGTGCTTCTCTGATTAGGAAACAAAGGCAGGGGTTGGGGATTTAGCTCAGTGGTAGAGCACTTGCCTAGCTAGCACAAGGCTCTGGGTTCAGTCCTCAGCTCTGGGGAAAAAGAAAAAAAAAAAAAACAGCAAACATATAATGGGCTTTTTAAAACACTGTCTGCAGCCAGTTCTGGGCTGCTCATAAGTTCCCTGGATTCTCATACTGAAGAGTCTGGACTGCTTCAGGTCTTTTTGCTTTTTGAAGCCTTTCCCCTCCCCCCTTCTTTCTTGTTGAGCTGGACAGAAGGTTTCATTAGCCTGTTTTTCTTCAAGCAAACCATGCTGCCCAGGTTGGCTCCAACTACTTGTCTCTGTGTCTCTCCTTTGTCTTTTGGAGACCTGGTCTCCCTGTGAACTTTTGATGGTCTAGAGTCAACAGTGTAGGTCAGGCTGGCCTTGAACATGTAACATACTACTTATCTTTTCTGTCTCCGAGTCAGAAATGCAACCAAAACAAGGAGCCATCACTACCTGACCGCCAAAACTCTTTAAAAACCATTAGCCAGGGTGTGTGTGTGTGTGTGTGTGTGTGTGTGTGTGAATTCTGGAGCTAGAAGGAGGTGGACACAAATTCTGGAAAAGGCTAGGCTGCAGAGTGAGACTTTTTTCTCAAAAAGAAAGAAAAATAAGTTAGAATACTGATCACCATTTGTTTCCCTCCACCCCTTTAGTAAGTGAGTTAGGTGTGGTCTGGTACTAAATACCCAAGGCTTCTGTCAGAATCATCAGAGCTTGCTTTTCAGGGATGAGTAATGTAGTGTTTTCCTTCCAGGAAGTTTTTTCCAGTCCTGAAGCTTTCTTCTCTCTAGTCATTCCCTTCTTTTTTAATTTATTTATTACATTTATTTATTTTGGGGGGAACACAAGCTACTGTGTAGGTAGGTCAGAGAGGAGCTTTTGGAATGTACATTTATGTTGTAGAGGACACAGGTCACTTCATGCGTGTTCGTGTCTGTGTGTAGGTGAGAGGGCAGATTTTTGAGAGTTGGGAGTCCTCTTACCAAGTGGAGCCTGAGACTGAGCCCATGTATTCAGGTTTGTTTGGGAAGGGTTACCCTGAAAACAATCTCTGCTATCCAGATTTTGTTTGTTATTTGTTTTATTTCAAGAGTGTGCCTTTCAATTTCAACATTGAGGAGGCAGATGCAGGCAGACTTCTGTGAGTTTGAGGCCAGCCTCATCTATGGAGTAAATTCCAGGACAGCCAGTGGTCCACGAAGGAACTTCGTCTCAAACAACAACAAAAAGGGTTGGAGAGATGGCCAGCAGTTAAGAGCACTGACTCCAGAGGTCCTGAGTTCAATTCCCAGTAACCATGGCAGTTCACAACTGTCTGTAACTCCAAGATTTGACACCCTCACATTCAGACATACATGAAGGGAAAACACCAATGCACATGAAATAAAAACAAATGAATAGATTATTAAAAAAGAAACAACAAAAATATTCATTTATGTATGTATATACTGCATGAAATTATTTTAGACTCAAAGTCTTTGTAGTCTAGGTACAATTGAACTTGATTTCAATTAATACCTAGTTTCAGCCACTACCCAGTTTAATGTTGGTGTTGCAATGTGGTGTTTTTTTTTTTTGTTTTTGTTTTTTTTTTTTTTTTTTTGGTTTTTCGAGACAGGGTTTCTCTATGTAGCCCTGGCTTGTCCTGGAACTCACTCTGTAGACCAGGCTGGCCTCGAACTCAGAAATCTGCCTGCCTCTGCCTCCCAAGTGCTGGGATTAAAGGCGTGTGCCATCACCGCCTGGTGCAATGTGTTTTTTAAAATGCTGGTACTGCCTTTAAAAATAAATCACTGATCCAATAAAAAAAAATATATATATATTTTAAATAAAATTTAAAAAAAAGAAAAAAAATCACTGAAAAAAAAATCACTGAGTCCAAGAATGGCTGAATGCTTAAAGGTGCTTTCTGCTAAAAAATTGGAGCAAAAAAGATTGCTGATTCCACAATCCCATTCCATAGTAATAAAGGAAGCCCCCTCCCTATTGGGGTGCACGCAAGCACTTGGAAACTCCACACTGGAAGGGAGTGAGGGCACGTGGATCTCTTGAGTTTGAGGCTAGCCTGGTATACAGAATGAATTCTAGGATAGCCAGGGCTACCCAGAAAAATACTGTCTACCCCTCCTCATCCCTCAAAAACAGAGGAAAGAAAAAAAAAAGATTTCATCGTGGAGGAGGTCTTCTTTTTTTTTTTTTTTTTGGTAGCTCAGGTTTTCCTCAATCTTTCAGCAACTCAATTGCCTCAGCCTCCCAAGTACAGAATTATGGAACAGTCACCGTATGTGGCTGTAGAGGACTTTGTGGGACAAAACTCATTATTATTATTGTACTTTTGGGCATGTTACTTCCCAAATTAAATTCTTTCCACTGAAAATTTCTGATGCTGAATATTTTTCTTACCGTCGTAATTTTTGTTGTTGTTTTTGTTTTGAGACATTGTCTATCTGCCTGCATAGCCCTGGCTGTCCTGGAATTCACTATATGTAGACCAGGTTGGCCTCAAACTCACAGAGATCCTCCTGCCTCTGCCTCCAAAGTGGGGTCCTAAATTTGTGCCCCATGGCTGGCATTGAGCTTTGTCATAAGCAGTGTTAAATACCTATTTAACTGGGACATCCAGTACAGGTAGGTCAGCTGTCACTTCACATTCCCAAGGCCGTCTCCAAAAAAGCAGAGTCTCAGTTCCTATCTTTAAAGTGTTTCCATTTTTTAAAAGGAGGATCCAGCTCGTAATGTAGGACACATTAAAAAGTACTTAACTGTAGATAATGCAGTGACACTGTATTAATTCCAAGTGCTGAATGTGGTGACATCCTTCAACGACAAACTATCAAGGCTGCGTTCACTCAAACAAGGAAATAGGAGGCAAAATGGAGGCCAGAGACTGGGGTGCCTAGGGCAAAATCTTTAGCCTCTGTGATTGCGAAAGTAAACTAGGTTACCGTGTTTTCTACTAAGAGGGGAAATGGAAGTAGTTTAAGAGAGCTGGGCTTCCCTAAGTTCTCTAGTCTGAGATACTCTCAAAGCCGAGTGATGGGAGTGAACCTCGGCTCTCGGCTTAGGGTGTCTGGGGCAGCGTAAGAAAATGGCGTTTGCTAGAGCTTCCCGAAAGCCTTCCATATTGGTCAGCTCAATTGACTTCGGTTTTCGTGTGCCGTCACCAAGCTGTCGTCCCGCCCGCCGCCGCAGGGCTTCCACCCACGGCGAGGGGGAACTGCCCGCCCATCCCGGCAGGGGTGACATTCGAGAGGTGCTGCGAAGGGACAACTCGAACGGTCCCGGGTGACGCGACACCCACGCCCTCGCGCGTCTCAGACCTGACACTTGTGGAGCTGCAGGGCTCCGCTCAAGCGTACCACCTAACGAGGGAAAGCAGCCTCCTGAGGAGGGCCAACATGGCGACCAACTCCTCTTGGCACAGCCCGGTTCCCTCCTCATGATGGGCGGCCCTGTAACGACCATTGGCCAAAGGTAGAGGCGGTGCCGTGCTGCCTTCGCTGCCTCATTGGCCCGAGTCTCTGAGGGGGAAGCTTGTCCTCCTCTCCCCATTCCAAGTTCCAGCCTTCACCTTTTACACGGCGCTTAATTGGCTGTTCGTACACGTCAATACGCGACCTGTTCCGGCTCTTCTCAGTTGTCGTCCAATCAGAACTTTGTTAACTGCCCGCCTGAATTCTGATTGGTTTAGAAAGCTTGATCCTATCCCATTCCGGCCTATTTCTTACTCTTCTCCTAAACGGACTTTGCCCAGGCATGCCCAAGATTCTGATTGGTTGTTGTCCTGTCTTTCTTACCTAAGTTCTTCCTATCCCCACCGCTCACGGAGCCCGCCTGGCGGTTGATTGGTTTCTCTGAAAGTCAATCTTCTTCTCATCCCGCCCATCACCACTTCCTGAGTCTCTTATTGGTTGTTAAAACTAAGAGGCCGGCCTTTCTGGGCGGAAACCAGGTACGCAACTTGGTCTTAACACGCCTCAGCGAGAGAGCGAGTCTTGTCATTGGGTTGGCTGCCCGCCTTTCCTCTGCAAGTCCCTCCTTTCACCCTCCCTCATTGGGCGGGGCAGCACATAAGGGGCGGGGATTAGGCCGGGCTTGTGGCGCGCTGCTCCCTCCTCCTTACCCCCCCCCTCCCTGTCCGGTCCGGGTTCGCTTGCCTCGTCAGCGTCCGCGTTTTTCCCGGCCCCCCCCCCAACCCCCCCGGACAGGACCCCCTTGAGCTCGCCCCTCAGCTGCCACCATGAGCGGTAAGGATGAGTCCACTCCAAGCCTAGGGGTGGGAGGGGAGTGAGGGGGCGCGCGCGAGGACCGACCGGGCGGTCCCCGCTGTGAGGGGGGGCGGGCGGGAGGCGGCGGCGGCGGCCTTGGTCCCGCCCGGGGCGGAGGGAAGGGAGGGAGAAGGGGCAGTGGCGGGGCCTCGGAGGAGGAGGGGGATGGGCTACCCGCCCCGGGGGAGGGGGCAGCGTGGCCTCGCCCGCCCCCTGCCCGCCCCGGCCACGGGGGACGGGCCTTACCCCCCACTACCCGGCCGGCCGCCTGAGGCTCCTCCCGTCGGGGGCTGGCGCCGCGGGGGCGGCCCGACCAGTGCAGGCCCCGCCTGGGCCAACCGCCTCCCCGGTCCGCCCTCCGGTCGCAGCCTGCCCCAGGCCCTCCCCCGCACCCCCGTAAATTTCCCTTCCCCCATCCGACCCGCCCTTGCCACGCCTCTAACCCCGAAACCGCCCCTTCCTTCTGTGCCCGCCCCCTCAGCCCCAAACCTGGGTTCTAAGCCCTAGACCTTTTTTAGCCCCTTACCTGTCCTCTCAGATGTTTCCTCACCTCCTCTTGCGATTCACTCTTTCTCGGTCTCTTCCTGTTATTGTTTACACTTGATCTTTCTCCATCTCTTTTAGTCCTAATTTTAGCACACTTTCCATCCGCCCACATGTTGGGTCCCCTTTTCCTTCCAGGATGCTTTTTTTTGTTTTTTTTTTTTCTTTTTGAGATAGGGTCCATGTACTACTCGTAGTAACTGCAGACCTCAGACTTTTAGCTGTCTAGGGGCCTCTTCCTCCTCAGTGCTGGGATTAGAATCTGCCAACCCTAGGTGCAACTTTTTATTATTTCTGAGACACTGCTCTCAAATTCCCTTTCTTAAAAGTGCTATTTGTATTGAGATCAGTTCTTACTCTCTTGCCCTGGCAGACGTAGAACTGGTGAACCACCTGGTTCATCCTTCCAAGTCTTGGGATTATAGGTGTGAGTCACCATGTCTGGCTTCCAAAGCAATTTTTGAGTCATTTCTGGGGTTAATTTGTGCATGGGAAAATAGTGACCTCTCTTGTCCACCATCAAGCCATGTGCGTTCTCTGCATGCCTATGGCTTTGGTATCCCAATTTACTATGTAGCTGAGAATTTTTTGAACTTTCGCCTCCACTTCCAGATTCTGGGATTTTAGGATTAACAGCATATCTAGCTCTATCTGGCTAGTACCTTTTGAAAACTATTCTGTCATTGCTGATGGTCAAAGCCCTTAATTTTAAATCTTATGTTGTTTTTATTCCACTCCACTTAAGTTATTTGTTTTGTAATTATTTTTAGACCAAGATCACTCAATGGATGAAGTGACAGCTGTGGTGAAGATTGAAAAAGGTGTTGGTGGCAATAATGGGGGTAGCGGTAATGGTGGTGGTGCTGCCTTTTCTCAGACTCGAAGCAGCAGCACAGGCAGTAGCAGCAGCAGTGGTGGCGGAGGAGGGCAGGTGAGTGATTAATGATGGGGAAGGTGTTGAAAAGGGTGTAAATATTCTTAGAAACTTCCTTAACCAAAATCTCTGGGGAAAAATATCATAGGGAAGTGCATACAGAAAGATAGGTGATCTAGAGGGTCCCCAAATATGAAAGTTGGAACAGTACACAGAAAATGAGCATTTTGTTTCTGGATTTTGCTCTTCATATGCCTGCATTGTTGCTGTTTATCTGTTGAATACTGCCCCCTAGGCCAGCTATTGGGTGCCACTAACTCCTTTCCTCTCTTCTGGCCAGGAATCCCAGCCATCTCCTTTGGCTCTGCTGGCAGCAACCTGCAGCAGAATTGAGTCACCCAATGAGAACAGCAACAACTCCCAGGGTCCGAGTCAGTCAGTGGGCACAGGTGAACTTGACCTCACAGCCACACAACTTTCACAGGGTGCCAATGGCTGGCAGATCATCTCTTCCTCCTCTGGGGCTACCCCTACCTCAAAGGAACAGAGTGGCAACAGTACCAATGGCGGCAATGGCAGTGAGTCTTCCAAGAACCGCACAGTCTCTGGTGGGCAGTATGTTGTGGCTGCTACCCCCAACTTACAGAACCAGCAAGTTCTGACAGGTCTACCTGGAGTAATGCCTAATATTCAGTATCAAGTAATCCCACAGTTCCAGACTGTTGATGGGCAGCAGCTGCAGTTTGCTGCTACTGGGGCCCAAGTGCAGCAGGATGGTTCTGGTCAGATTCAGATCATACCAGGTGCAAACCAACAGATCATCACAAATAGAGGAGGTGGGGGCAACATCATTGCCGCCATGCCAAATCTACTCCAGCAGGCTGTCCCCCTCCAAGGCCTCGCTAATAATGTGCTCTCAGGACAGACTCAGTATGTGACCAACGTGCCAGTGGCCCTGAATGGGAACATCACCTTGCTACCTGTCAACAGCGTTTCTGCAGCTACCCTGACTCCCAGCTCTCAGGCAGGCACGATCAGCAGCTCTGGATCCCAGGAGAGCGGCTCACAGCCTGTCACCTCAGGGACTGCCATCAGTTCTGCCAGCTTGGTGTCATCACAAGCTAGTTCCAGTTCCTTTTTCACCAATGCCAATAGCTATTCAACAACTACCACCACCAGCAACATGGGAATTATGAACTTTACCAGCAGTGGATCATCAGGGACTAGTTCTCAAAGCCAGACACCCCAGAGGGTTGGTGGGCTACAAGGATCTGAGTCTCTGAACATCCAACAGAACCAGACATCAGGAGGCTCACTGCAAGGAAGTCAGCAAAAAGAGGGAGAGCAAAGTCAGCAGACCCAACAACAACAAATTCTTATTCAGCCTCAGCTAGTTCAAGGGGGACAAGCTCTTCAGGCCCTCCAAGCAGCACCATTGTCTGGACAGACCTTCACAACTCAAGCTATTTCCCAGGAAACTCTCCAGAACCTCCAGCTTCAGGCTGTTCAAAACTCTGGTCCCATCATCATTCGGACACCAACTGTGGGGCCCAATGGACAGGTCAGTTGGCAGACCCTTCAGCTGCAGAATCTTCAAGTTCAGAACCCACAAGCCCAGACAATCACCTTGGCCCCTATGCAGGGTGTTTCCTTGGGGCAGACTAGCAGCAGCAATACCACCCTTACACCCATTGCCTCAGCTGCCTCCATTCCTGCTGGCACAGTCACTGTGAATGCTGCTCAACTCTCCTCCATGCCTGGCCTCCAGACCATTAACCTCAGTGCATTGGGTACTTCAGGGATCCAGGTGCACCAGCTTCCAGGCCTGCCTTTGGCTATAGCAAACACCCCAGGTAAGACATCAGTTCTTTGTATTTATCACAAACTATACTTCTCTGGTACTGTTGAATCTAAAGGGGGAAATAGAACTTTCTGAGATGTTTCCTCAAGGCTAAACACCCAAGCAAGTGTAAAATGTTTTAGTAAAGACATTTGGAACTGAATCAATAGAAATGTCTTCTTAGTTAACCTGATGAGAAAGGAGCACTTCTGGGTAATGTTCTGTGGTCTCTACTTCCTAGGCACCACAAACTAAAGCTTGGTGTGCTTTCTGCATAGGGTCCCGTAGTAAACATTTTAGGCTTTGAGATCCATGTGGATTCTCAGTCATACTTCATATTCTTTTTGGTTTTCCCCTCACCCAGCAGTGATAGGGATTGAACATATGGCCTTTGGAATCTTATGTACACTAGTTGTTATATCCTAACCCCTTCCTTGGTTTGCAATTTGTTTGCAGAAACACCCTTTTAAGAATGTAAAAATGGATCCTGATACAGTGATGCATGCCTTTAATCCTAGCACTCAGGAGGCAGAGGCAGGTGGGTCTCTGTGACCTCAAGGCCAGCTTGATCTACATAGTTCCAGGACAGTCTGGACTAAGTAGAGACCTCAAAACAAAGATTGTAAAATAGAGACTGGACAGTTTAGCAGTTAAAGTGGCTGCTCTTCTAAAGGACATTGAATTCCCAGCACCCATGTGGTAGCTGATGACTGTGACTCTAGTCCAAGGAGATCCCTCTTCTGGCTTACTTGGTCATTGTATGAATGTGGCACATGGTTATATATTTAGGTTATACACATAAAATAAAAATAAAATTTAAGATAACTAGAATGTGAAACCAAGACTAGGATTGATGCTCAGTGGTAGAGTGCTTGTCTAGCATGAGTCTAGACTTTGGATTCATGTTCAGCACCATACAAAAAATTATTTTTTGAAACAGGGTTTTTCTGAATAGCTCTGGGTGTCTGGAACTAGCTCTATGGACAAAGCTGGTTTCTGATTTTCAGAGACCTGCCTGCCTCTGCCTCCCAAGTTCTGGGATTAAAGGCTTGCACCAATGTGCCTTGCTGTTCCTTATCATCCTTTAAGGAGCAGGAGGTTTATTTTGGTTGACAGTTTATCTAATTAAAAGTGTTGAATATACTCCCTTCTTGGTGGAGAAGGCATTACAACTGAAGACCTGCTTCCTAAGTGTCAGGAGCAGGAGGCAGCAAGCAGTTCCTCAATATTTTGGTTGAGGAACCTAGCCCAGGCCAAGTAGGTTACAGATTATGATGATTCAACTTAAACAGTTTTCTCATGAGTTGTAACTCGTAATTGAGGGGAAAATGGTTTAATGGACTCCAGAAAGGTTTTTCTTTTTTTTTTTCTAAAATGCTGTTTATATGCATGTGTTTATATCTGTATATTTGTGCAATTTGGATGGGTGGGTGCCACAGGAGGCTGAAAGAGGTCATGTGATTTCCTGAGGCTGGAATTCCAGGTGTTTGTGAGCCACCTGATATGTATAGGTGCTGGGAACCATACTCTTGCCCTCTGAAAGAGCAGCCAGTACTTTTAACCACTGAGCCATCTCTCCAGCCTCAGAAAGATTTTCAACGAGTTTCTGGTTTTCTTTGTTTGTTTTGGGGGGGTTGTGTTTTGTTTTTGTATTGTTTTGTTTGTTCATTTGTTTGAGGAAGGATCTTACTAAGAGACCCTGGCTGTCCTAGAGCTCTCTATGTAAACCACATCAACCTTGAGCTCACAGAGATCTGCTTGTTTGTCTCCTAGTGCTGGAATTAGAGGTGTGCAGTAGCATACATGATTTTCCTAGTTGGTCTTTAACACCGTACCTTCTGTGCAAACTGAGTAACCATTGGATATATAGATACGATGACCACTTCTTGTAATTCCACAATTTGGGAGGCTGTGTAGGAGAATCATGAGTTCAAAAGCTGATTGCTAGGTAGTAGTGGCTCATGCCTTTAATCCCAGTATTTGGGAGGCAGAGGCAGGTATATTTCTTGAATTTGAGGCTAGGCTGATTTACTAGCTTGATTTAGAATGAGTTCCAGGACAGCCAGGGGTACACAGAGAAACCCTGTTTCCACACACCCCCACACACCAAAACCATAAACACACAAAAAAAATCAAAGGATAACTAGCTACTGGCTATATGGGGAGGCCTTGTTTCAAAAACAAAACAAAAACAAAAAACACTCTACTAAAACCAACAATAAGATTTTAGAGAGCCAAAAGTCAGAACCATAAGGTAAAACTGAAGGGCTTTTTAGATTTTGTGATTTTAGAATATATCATAAGGCTGATTATCAAGGGAGGCTGAGGTTAAAGGATCAATGCTAGTTTGAGCTACATAGTGATTCCTTGTTTGCCCCCAAAATAAGTTTTTAAAAAATTATGTAGGTCAACATGGAACTAATATATTTTGGGGATGGGGAACAGGCTCATACTCTGTAGCCCAGGATAACCTCATTATAATGGTTTCAGCTAGAAATTTGGATGATTATTTTGATTTCTAAAAGGTTTGTAACTTACGCTCTAGAAAACAGTTGTGAAGCATTTCCATTGCTGAATCATGCTTTGGGGGAAATCTGCCATTTAATGTATCTAGTGGTCAGGACAACTGTGTAGAGTTGATTCTCTTCCACCTGTATGTAAGCTCCAGGTGTTGAGCTCAGGTGGTCCAGGCTTGCTCAGGAACACCTCTACTGAGCAGCATTTTGACCTGGAAAGCCTTTTTTTTTTTTTTTCTTATTTATTGTATGTAAATACACTGTAGCTGTCTTCAGACACACCATAAGAGGGCATCAGATCTCATTACGGATGGTTGTGAGCCACTATGTGGTTGCTGGGATTTGAACTCATGACATCCGGAAGACCAGTCAGTGCTCTTAACCACTGAGCCATCTCACCAGCCCCAGAAAGCCCATTTTGTAAATTAAGATTGTTTTCTTGATTAATATGCTTTTGAAGATACATGTGGTTAATTTTTAATTTTTTTTAAAGATTTATATATTTTATGTATATGAGAACACTGTCGATGTCTTTAGACACACTAGAAGAGGGCATCAGATCTCATTACAGATGGTTGTGGGCCACCATGTGGTTGCTGGGAGTTGAACTCAAGACCTCTGGAAAAGCAGTCAGTGCTCTTAACGCTGAGTTTTCTCTCCCTAGAGACTTAAGACTTCCAGGTGTGTAGTTGTTACAAAATACCTTATTTTACCATCTTTTCTGATACAGTATTACTATGTATTAGAAAACTCAAACATTAAAAATACTTTAATCCTTTTCACAGAATAGTATAGTAGAAAGTCCATTGAATGTAAAACCATCATACTGTTCTAAGATGAAGTAGCCTTAGAAACGACAGCTTTGGGCCAAGTTTGGTGGCTCATAACTTTAATTACAGTACTCTGAAGGTAGAGACAGGTAAAGGTCTACATATATAGTAAGACCCTGTCTTTAAAAAAAAGAGAGAGAGAGCTGGGCTGTAGTGGCTCAGGACTTTAATCCCAACAGAGGCAGGTGGGCTCTGAGTTCTATGACAGCCAGGGCTACTCAGGAACCCTTTTCTGGAAAAATCAAACACCATAAGAGGGAAGGAGTGGGAGAGAACTGTAGTGTGTTTCATGCTCACTCAAGTCTCTTTACATTATTTTAAAAGTCATTTTAAAGAAATGCTTAGGGTTTTCTATTGATTTTTACTCTTTTGTGTTGAATATTCAAACAAAGGCATAAATCTAGACCCAAGACTCCTACTTCTGTGTCCCATATTTATGCCTTTGTCGGGTGGTAGTGAGGGAAGGGACCACCTTGTTAACTGAGGTTAATTTCCAAATGTGAAATGATATGTAAGTTCCTAGAGTTGTTTGTGTTTGTTTTTAAGTAACCCATAGCCTTTTTCTTTTCTTTTACTTTTTTTTTTTTTTTTTTTTTTTGGTTTTTTTAGACAGGGGTTGTCTGTGTAGCCCTGGCTATCCTGGAACTCACTCTGTAGACCAGGCTGGCCTTGAACTCAGAAATTCACCTGCCTCTGCCTCCCAAGTGCTGGGATCAAAGGCGTGCGCCACCACTGCCTGGCCCTTTTTCTTTTTTAAATCAATACCTTTTCCTTTCTCTCATTTTGTAGTCTTAAACTTCACATGTCTTCCCCCTCAGTCAAATCCTGAAACTTGCCTTGGGTGTGCATGAGGCCAGCTTTAAAACATGGAATGTGGTTGGCTTCTTGGGAGTTCTAATAGTGCAGAGCTGGGCTTTGGCATGAGAATAGAACAGATGATCTTGATGTCTACAATTCACTCATGAAAATTTCAGGCACTAAAAATAAAAATTCTACATCTGCTAAGTTTCATTGGAGTCAGGAGCATGTTTTGTCTCACAGTTAAGTTGAATATAATACTGGCATTGGTTTGCTAGCATTCTCTCTGAAGTTGGGGTCAGATAGCTTAGACCTACCTAATTCATTAAAAAGTTGTGTTTTTGACTAGTGCATTATGGACATTAGAAATTTAGAGCATAGCCGGGGGTGGTGGTGGCGCACGCCTTTAATCCCAGCACTTGGGAGGCAGAGGCCGGTGGATTTCTGAGTTCGAGGCCAGCCTGGTCTACAGAGTGAGTTCCAGGACAGCCAGGGCTATACAGAGAAACCCTGTCTCAAAAAACCAAAAAAAAAAAAAAAAAAAAAAGAAAGAAAGAAATTTAGAATATTTAGGTTATAAAAATGTTTTTAAAGTATTTTTTTTTCCCCTGAGATTTAGTCTTTTGTTGTTTAGACTGGCTTGAGACTATGGAGTCCAGCCTGGCTTCAAACTTACGGTAATCCTCCTGCCTCAGCCAATGAGTGTTTACAGATATGAGCATTTAGAATTAGCATTTTGTGCAAAAGCTCATATGAGAAACATTTCAGTTTTAAGATAATGTAGTTTATCCTTTTTTTTTTTTTTTTTTTTGGGTTTGTTTTTTCGAGTTTTTGAGACAGGGTTTCTCTGTGTAGCCCTGGCTGTCCTG